AGATTCAAATCTCAAGGTTTTTCCTCCTCCAAAATTTTTTTTTCCTAGTCAAGCGTTTTGACTCTGTGAGTTTTTTTTCACTAGACGAAGGAACTGAACAAAGAAAAACTAAGCTTTCTAAGAAATCGTTTAATAAATCGCTGTTATTTATAGCAATAGTCAACAAGTAGCAGCATTACGGTACCGGTTTAAGAGAGACTGAGGAACCAATTAGTAATTTTATAAAAGAAAAATTAAGTCTATTTTTTCTTTTTAGGAATGATAACTATAAGGAAAAAAGTAGTGCAAAAAAAAGAAATGTTTTTAAAACAACCTACAGGTTGTTGGAGCAACAGTCGAACTACCGTGAGAAAACTTATGTCCACTGAATGAAAATCGCTTTTTCAGCGAGATAGCAGTTGCCGACGACGGTTGTCCGGGTCGCTGTTCGTCAACAGATGCTGAACGATAAATTCGTGTTGTACTACGAATCAGTCGTGCAGCACCGAACAGTGCTTGGGCAACTGCTGGAGTATAATGGGTACTTCGAACTGATGTTGAATAGATCATACTTGGTGAAAGTTATTGCAACTTGGGACGTTTTGTGTATGTATTTATATATACAGATAATTAGATAAATAGTATATTTAGATGCGATATAATTGTGTTTCGTTTGTAACTTCGTTCTTGTTCTTGTTTAATCAGTCGAGGGTCAATCGAGGTTCAGCATAAAGTTTGTTGCACACCAAAAAGATTTCTGCCATCTTTTTCCCCATCTTTCTTGCTGCACGCTAACAACGACAAGCATGAGGATTATGTCAGATGATGTAACAATTGTGTTAAAAGGAATATGGATGATATAATGAATATAAACAAAAAAAAAAAAAAGAAACTAATTTTTTGTTCTGACCGATCAAAAAACATCAGCAAATAAAAATAAAACAAAACCAAACAAAACGTTTATGAAACGAAAAAACAAAAAAAAACATTAAATTATAAATGTGTGAAATAAAATATTAAAAGAAAGGATACTAAAAAGAAAATGTTGAAAAGATTGGAAAGTAGGATGAAAATAATATAGTAGGAAAAGAAAAAAATTTTTTTTATCAAACAGATGTTATTTTAAGCCATTGCTATTGTTTCTTTCTTCTTTTCCATTGGCATACACGATAAAATAGAACGGTTTTTGCAAAAAGAAAAAAAAAAAAGCAACGAGAAAAGAAATAAAATAAAAAATAAATAAGCAACCAAACAAACAAATAATAAAGAAAACAAAAAAAAGAAAAGGAAATCGACGATGAAGCAGAATAATAACAGGGAAGAAGATGGAGGAGGATAAAAACAAAGGATGATGATGATGATGATGATGACGATGACAATGAAGGACAAGGAGAAGGAGACGATGAACGAGGACAAGAAGAAAGTTCTGTGCCTTCCTTCTTCCCTCTTGTTTCTGGCTTTACCACGACCAACCGATATCAGCAACAAACAACAACGGCAACAACAAAAAGGCAGCCAGTTTCAGCAGCGTTGAGATTTTTTCAAGTACTTCTAATTGCCGTTATTTTTAGCGACGCAAAAAAGATTGTTAAAAAATAAAATGCCTATTGTTCCACATAAATTCTCCTCTCACTCGTTGTCGTCCTCGTTGTCTTCGTAGTCGTTTTCAGGAATTTTTAATTCAAAAATAACAAAAAAACAAGCCTAGGCTGAAAAAAAACAAAAACAAAAACAAAAAAAAAAAAAAAAA